CCGGACCCGTTTCAGAGATGTTTCAAACGGACGAGACGTAGGAATTGCGCGCGAGACAGCGAGCCTCCCGCACCTGTTGGGGGCAGGTGACGTACGTCAATAGGACACCGTCGTCATCGCTGCGGCAGTTTCGAGCCATTGGCGGGGAGCCGGGGAGGCAGGTCTGAATGCGCACATCCTAGTGCTGCGACGATGTGCCTTGTCTGCATCAAAGCTCAGACGTGAAGAGACTCGTCGGAGGACCGCGGGGTAGCCGCGGTAGCATGCCATGACGATAGCAGGTTCGTCGTCATGCAGGACGCAATCCAAACATGTATTGATGCTACATTATTATCGCCCTCAAGCTCGGGCCTGCGCTCTATCAACGTATGTGACAAACAAGATAGTCGAGAGCATATCGCGCGTAGATGATCAGCGTCGGTATTCCTGGAAAGTCATTAGTTCAAAGCTTGAGCATCATCATCGTACACGATGATCGCCGGACCTCTGAGAAACCTCATATTCAGTATGTGCTAACGACAGCTGCATGGAATATACCTCATCTCCCTCCCCTATCGCAAAGACATCAACGAGACGTTCGAAATATGTATCACTAATCACTTACGTTCTCCATCCAGCTGATTTGTGCCTTCAACTCGGTGAGACCACATAGGAGGACAACTTTGAATTCCTGAGAGAAATATGTCCCCTTAGGCCCGTTTCTCTTTATTCTCAATATGCGGGAAGTATCGGCGTGTACGGTACACAAGCACGAGAACATCTCTAGAGAAGACATCAATACTCAGTCTTCTGGCAGTTTGAATGTCGGGCGCCTCACCTGGCTCTGTATCCAACCATCCCGGGTTCTTACTCTTTCCTCGATAACACGTGATCTCTGTTGATATCTTGTTCAGAGCCGTCTTCTCTCGTGCTTCCTTGTAGAGTTCCTGATACACTTCTCCATTCTCATGGATTCGGCCTCCCTTCAACACGATATCAGCGACAAGATTCATATCTGAAGCAGGACAATTAAACCAACCCTGGATAAAAGGATCCTGAATGCGTCCGGGATCATGCGTTTTCCAGAAGGCCGAGAGACGACGCTTGCCCGTCGTGCAAGATGCTCCGGATCATTTTCGTGGTACGGTATAAGGCATTGGACACCGTATGTGACTCTGGCAACGCGCGCCGACACCCATTCCTCTAGATAGAATGCGACGGCCCCTTCTGCGACGGCTTTACTCCTGGATATGAATATAGTTTTAAGCATGCGTATTGGCAGCGTTATAAATGCTTACGTATGTCTATCCGGGCGTGAGACATGCAGACCAATTTGCTGCAGCAATCGCTGCAGCTCTGAGAAAAGCCACGGATTCGCGGCAAACCCGCCCACAAGAAACACCGTCTACGGAGTTTCTCAATAAGCTATTATACCCTCGTGACGGAAGTACTTGCCGTCAGGGAAGGGGTGACGGTGCTGACGTTGTCGTTCAGCTGCTTTGACAATGGCTGCAATGGAAGGTACAAAGAGTGAAGCGACTTCATTGCTGAAAACCAGTGTGAAACTGTACCAACGAACTTGATAGGATGCAAGTAGAGCACTCACCCTGCCAATGTGAGCTGACCGCGTCGAATTTGAGCAGAAGGGTCATTGCATTTCATAGATCCGAACTTGATACACGACGGTTCAAGCGAGCTTTTGAAGACCCACTTTCTATGCTTGTCGAAATTCTCTAACATCGTTTTGATATCCTCCTCGTTGCCATAAGGAGAATTTTTGAGCTTCTCTGAAAGGCTAGTGAGTCGCCGCACGAAATCAAGTTCATAGAGCTCTACCATGTAAGAGCGTATGCGCTCTCTGATTTATGCTGATAGATCCTTCCAAGATACCTGAAGAAGTTTTATGTCAACCGTGCTTATGGAAATGAACAATTTGATTCACAATCGGGTTCTGTGATCTCCTCGACAGAGGTAGGCGATACTGTCAAGAATCTGTACGAGCTGATATCTATCGTTCCACCACCAGCATCTATGACCATAACAGTCTGTCCACTCTGTGTCATACGCCATCCTACTTAGTATGCAATGGGGAGTTTGGGATTGACAGAATACATACAGAGATGCCACATGCGAAACCATTCTTAACACAGAAATACATGCTAGCTTCACAAAGTGGATTCGTGACCTCCCTGCTCTTGAATCAGGAACGAGCCCGCCAAGTATAGCAGCCTGCCGCATCTTCTGCTGCTGGGCTCCTTCCCAGCCATTGGGATGGCTTAATACAAAATCGATGCGTTCCTCCAAGGAGGACCAGAGGCTCTCTCCGCTTGCGTGGATCTCAATGATTCTCCGACGCGCACAGCTGTACAAGTAGGACATGAAATCAGCAAAAACCTGTACCACAGTCTTCCCTTGTGGAAGTGGTGGGAGAGTGGATTTGTTGAGATTGTCCGTGTCCAAAGTATCGGATCGGAGGTGCAGTTTAAACCTAAAAGCAATATCTTACCGAAAATGCAGGTTGGAGCATCAAATGTGAAACTTACCACTCTACAAAAACAAGCCCTTCATCTTCAGCATCTAGAGCAACACCGGGCGTGGCCGCTTCGGCACCAACAGCGTGAACTGTTCCGTCTGGGTTGTAATACAGGATCGAGGGAATTTTTGAATCTGCCGCAGAATTTTCCTGGCCGGGGTACCTAGCAAGCATTGTCAGAGACGGAAGACATTTGAAAACGCGTGCTCACGACGTAATGTTTTGAATGGTTGGAATTTCTCCTGGATCGAGAATAGCGTAAGAGATACCACTAAATGTGGTTCCAACGTCGAAGGCCAGCACCAGCTTGCGCTGTGTTCCTCGGTAGGGTTTCAAAGAAGACATGTGGTAGGATGGCGGATGTGCCATTAGTAGTGGGTCAAGCTGTTTTATGTCCACGGGTCTGGCGGCGGCTCAGAGGCGACGAAGATTCCAGCGAACACAACTAAATTCACAGGTATTGAGTTGTGTGCGAGCACGCGCGAGTTTCAGGAATACAAATCACCCACCTGATCTTTGTTCGGCGGAGCCAAGTTCTGTCTAGACTGATTTGTGGACATTGTCGCCACATCCATCTGCGACGCAGAAAGGAGCGAATAGAATCGCGAAAATTGAGCATTGATGTTACCAGATACGAAATTGAACCTAGTTGGGCGTAGAAGATTACCCTGCAGGCTGATTTGAAAAGGGGAAGGCAACAGCAAGACTCCTTGTCAAGTAAGTGCTGAATGCACAAAAAACCTAGACGAGGACCGGTCTATATATGATTCTTTCCTTCTTTATTTCACTGCTCAATCGTACTACAACATCTATCTCTCTGGATAAGATGTCACAGAAACCCACGGAAACCCGTTCTTCAAGCACACAGCCAGGGTCGAGGAATCCCACCGAACACCACGGGATACAACGGCGAGAGCCATCAACGTCGACGTCTAGGATGAACCAGTGGGATAGAGATAAGTTGGAGAGAGACAAGGTATTTTCGAAAAAAAGTAGATCATTTGAGTGAACTCTAGACCGGACGGCGCTCATCGAGTCTCAATAGGTCACGGAGTTGCAAAACCAGCTTCATCACGAAGGCACTTCTCGTAGAAACCTGCTGCGAGATAAGCATCTGGCAGAAGAGAGGTTGATTCGCGAACTTACTGCAGCTCGAGACGAGCTCAGGAATAAATCTGCACTCCTTGCCACTAGGACGGCGGAACTACACGATGCCCAGAAATTCCTCACAAGGGTTGATAATTACGCCGACGCCGAAATTGTTCGCATGTTCAGCGGGCTCAATTCACATATCTTTCAGACCGCAGCACAGGTGGCGGACGCTGTGGAGTTTTCTGACGAACGCGGGAGGGGGTATTACAAGCTTGCGAATCAGCTCATAGGGAAAGAGATGGTCGAGATCCTGTCCGAAAAGCCACATCGCGATGACCCGATCTGCGTTCAGATTGCTGGTCGAAATGTTATGGTCATGTTTGCAAGTCGTGTGCTTAATGTCTGGGACTTCACGCCCGGTTCAAACCACGTTCTTCTCGACCAGGTATATATGCAGATGAAACGTTCTGGTGAGTGCTACTTCAATCATAAACGAAAGCAGAGTCTGTATACGGGCGCTGGAGAGCCTTGACGCGAACACAACTCAGATCGATTACACAAGAACCATCTATGGTGTCGTCTTTGGAGAAGCACCTCAAGGATGATGTTGTTAGAGTCTTGGAAGTTGCAGGTGCGAGGGGGATGAAAGGTCAAGCTGTGCAAGATGGTATTCAGAGGTTTTTCGGCGAAAAATTCCGATCTCTTATCGACACATGCCTGGCGCTGCGAAATACTATTGGGGAAGACGTCGTCTTGGGGATCTGGAGGCGGAAACAGTCTCACATGGAGCGCTGTATGATTCGAAGAACATGGTGGACGACCTGGCAGACAAAGACCGTACTGTTGCAAACGCTAGGCACACACCCCGCATGCTGTGCACTGTTGAAATGGGAGTGCGACGAGTTGAACAGGTCGAAAGGGGTCAAAAGAAAGAGGAAGAAGTCATAGTGCTGCTCAAGCCAAAGGTAGTTCTTGAGTCGATGGTACAAGAGCTGTGAAATACCACCGATCTCGCGCGGGGAGGAAACGAGCAGGTTGGCCTGTCCTCATGGAAAATTTTTATGACGATAAGGAAGTCTCGCTGACTAGTGGAGCGTGTGGAGACGGACGTTTACACTTTTGTTCTTGTTACGCATGGGTTATAGCGCTTGGAACACCATAACTCAGGGTTGGTACAATGGTAATGAACGGCACAACTCATCGTGTCCAATATGACGATGCTATTTCCGAAATTGCTCAAGCTCCTCATCGTCCTCGAGAAGCTTCGGTGCGGCCACTGATCGATGATCCCCATACCTGCCATTGTTCCGGCAACTCAAAGCGTTCGAGCCGTGATTTGAATAATTTCTGGAACACGGATCAAGTATAACTTTAAGCACAAAAGTGTACCTACATGGCCTTAACCCAAGACTTATAATGGTTAGCTAGCCTGTTCTCCGTGAACAATGACAGCAGTCTGCAATTATGAAACAGAACTGTCCACAAAAGTTAACTGTTTAGTGTTCCGGGTCCTTACAGAGCGGTTTCGTCTGCGTTCAAGATGAGCGTTGAGAAGAACCTGACCATCTCGACGAGGTTTTCGACCTCGCACCCTATAATAAACCGAGAATGTAAATGATCCAAGACACAGCATACGCGTATGTTCCGAACCTTCATTGATAGTATGCGCTGGGAGAGACATGGGGCTTTCCCTGTAATGCGTGTAACGGAAAATATATGGTGTGAGCTTCCAATAGGATCGCGTATCTGAATAACGACGGATGAGCCACAAATGTATCCAGGTATAATGAGTTACGTAGCATCTACCAGTGTTGCCAGATACAAGGCTCGGGATAACTGCAATGCCGTCTTTAGAGCTAGACAGAGGTCGATGCGATTCGTACGTCGCCTTTATCGATCCAGAGAGCAACTGAAACGGTACAGAGTCCTCGCCAGTAGGGGTGATAGGCGCCGGCTCAAGTGCAGAGTCCCAGGCGTCGCTAAGCGTCAGAGACCCAGATGCAGGTGCATCACTTGTGATGTTAGACCCGAACGCCGTGAACGAAAGATTGAACGCTGCAGCTAAAGGTTTCAAGATTTTGCTACTATGCTCCTGCACTGCGGCAACGGAACTGTGGCGCAACAATGATCGGTATACATAAAAACGCAACGAGAATGTGGTAACCTATCAGTGGCAATGCGATGATTGATGATAGCCATCGCATTTTCCGGGAGTGCGTTCGACTTGACGCCACCGCCGATTATATCGACGGCTTGGGTCGTGGAGACCAGTGCTTTGAAAACAGGATCCTGGAAGAGCTGCTTCTCCGCGAGGGCCAATGCCTTGTCCGACGTAACAGACCTCTTGATCACCTCCCGGAGAGTCGAAGAAAGACCAGGAGCGTGGACTGCAAGGCATTGCGCGTGCTGGTACATGGGTGATGCACGAGAAAGCCGTACTTCAGGTGGGTGGTTTTCATATTGCACAAGAAGCTGCGCGAGCATGCCAATCGTCTAGTACAGGTTATCAGTCTACCATCCGCCACACAATCCACGTACATTACCGTGTGCGCGGGTGGTACGCTTGAGTGGCCCCCTGGTGCCGCTACATCAACTCGTACGTTCAAGTACCCCTTCTCAGCGATCCCAGGAAGAGCAAAGGCACGACCATACGCTTCCTCAATGACACCTTATTTGTGATGTTTATAAGAAAGGAGTCGAAGCCAGTGTATCAACTTACCGCCTTCGTCAACTAGCATTGCAAACGCATTCTCTCCGTACGTTGCAAGAAGATACGCCTCAATTTCATGCGCTCCCTTTGAGTGGCAATTTCAATCTTCGATACCAGACAAAGTAGAAGATTGCGCACATTCTTGCCACCTGCCTCCTCGTCGAATCCAAAAGCGAGGGTGACTTCTCTCCTCGGTTTAAAACCGCTCTCAAGCATCAGCTCTATAGAGGTCCTAGCAGATTGTTATATTTCATTGCATTATCGTTGACAGTAGCACTCACAGGATACCGATCAAACCACTTTTGCTGTCTAAACTTCCCCTCCCCCATACATACGTTCCTAGAGGGATAGATCAATTTATTACAATATCGCAAAACACTGACTGCACCCGCCGTCATAAAATCCTGAGAATGGCGGATAAACCCATTGATCGTACGTCTCTGCATTTACAGGCACAACATCTAGATACGAATAACATCACTTGCTGCGAGGTGGATGAAGCGGCTGCAATCACGGACCTTGATGTACGGTCAATAGAAGGGGCTTGAGAGAATCATCCGATCCCTTCCAAACATAAACAAGGCCGTAGGTGTTGACTTTAGTCAACTCCAGAGAGGCATGACTGATATTATGAATTGTATGTAGTAACACATACCAAAAACGAACTTACACTCGGGGGAAAGCTTCTCGAAGGTAATCATGAAGATCAGAAAAGACCTCCCAGCGTGTGTCCTCGCCAATAGGACCCATTTCATCGTAGACCTCTGTCCTAATACGAGCTTCTTGTTCAGAGCAGAGCGGATAAGGTTGCCAACGAAATTCGATGCCGAGATACTCACGGAATTTGGACTGCGCCACTCAGCAGATGGACAATTTTGTCGAGAAAGGCAGCCGATGCGAACGTCCTCGATAGGTCTTCCCATAATTCCCTCTGGGCATGCGGGTATAGCGGTGACACCTGAGGGCATAACGGTCCAGCTATAGCGTCCAGGCCACTTCCTCCTGTCGATAACCAAGTAAACAGCACAGCGGCAGAGAGGCATGCCGCTAGGATGCCTGTCTTGATATATGGACGAATCTCTCTAGCACCGCGGTAAGCACTTTCCTCGAGATCGCCAAGTTCTGAACTTTTGGAAGACGCGCTCTTGTTCACGGCCCGAGACCACTGGAAGACAGACATGACGGGTCAATAAGAGAGGATGAGAGCTAACGCAAGATTGACGATACCTGCTTTTAAGTAAATTCATATTCAACTTGAAACTTCGCCTTGAAACTTGATTAACATTAATCCTTGATAATAATCAAATGCCATGAATCTGAACTGCAGAGTCTGTTGCGGCCAGTGATGTCGCCTCGGAGCCAACACCACGTGATCGTGAGATAGATTATGACAATAGCGAAGCCAGGCTGAGTATATAAGCCTCGCCTCAGCCGCCGCGATCAGCTCAACATCCTACATTGCATCTACACCTTCAGCTATGCGAGTATCCAAATTACATCGAAATCAATCCCGACGAGCTGGCACGCCGTCGACTCCAACCGAGTATCTCGAGGCCAAACGAATTCATTTAAAACGACAGCGTATGGTCTCCCAGCAGCGAGACCGGAAGCAAGATGCACCCATTCACCACCGAAGACTCCCGATTATACTTGCCAGAGTGGCAGTCAAAGCAAAGAGAGGTCGATGGGCAGAATTAGCTGCGGAGACGCAGAGCATTGTGCTCGGAGATGGCCAGTACGTTGAAGAGCGCCGCGTCTCTGTTGATGATCCTGCTGTTGCTCAACTCAATCGACAAGGACTTGTAGCTTTCGAGGCCAAGAGTGTCCCTCTGCGCATACACCATGATATATCTGTACAGGTAATTTTCAGCAAGCAGAGCACCGTGTTTTATCCGCACTATTGCGAGATGCTGGCTCACTGGGCCCACAAACGCCCCTCCGTGCCTCCGGCAAAGACGATTTTGGAATTTTCTCCCCATTCCACCCTCACGGTAGCTAGGCGTCTTGCTATGGCTGCTTCCGATTATGGTCTCTCTTCGTTCCCTACACCATCCGTCGGCGTACTATCATTTGCGTCCTCAAAGCGTCCAGGCGGCGGCTTCCTTCATGGCGGAAATGAACAGGAGGAAACGATTGCGAGGCTCAGCTCTTTGGTGGCCAGTCTCGGCGTACCAGCAGCACAACAATTCTATAAGGAGCACAGGAGACATTGGGCTGAGGATGGAAGCGGCCTACACGACCACTCTATGCTATACTCCCCCGGCGTAGTCGTCTTCCGCCGAGACGGAGATGACACGATATCTATATGTGGTGCCGACGGGCGTATAGTGGATGTTCCGCGCAGCGAAGACTCGGTGGGCGGAGATTTTATCCCACCCTATGCAATTAATGTTGTTGCATCCGTACCTGTCAATGCAGCGGCCGTGCGTGCCAAACATCTCATTTTACCTTCGGAGAAGGAGCTCTTTGAAGATGGCATCAGGAGCGCGATGAAGGAGCGGATGGCTCGGATATTACGGTTGTTTGAAGAACAAGGCGACAAGAGTATCGTTCTGGGTGCCTTCGGCTGTGAATCTAGCCAGAACAAGGTTGATATGGTCGCGCAGGTGTGGGCGGAGCTTCTTGTTTGCGGAGATTTGGGCGACGAGGGGAGACGACCAGCGAGGTTTGCGGAGAGTTTCGAGAAGGTTGTCTTCGCGGTCCCGGGTAAACTATTGCGACCATTCAGGCATGCCTTTGAGATGCGAGTGTTCGAAGAACAGCTGGCAGATGCGACTTCGGATCTCCAATGATGCCTTTGCTATCGCTGTAAGCTTAATTACGGCGATGACTTTTGTTTCTATCGCCTCTATCGCCTAGACTTTCGATATGTATCCGGGTATCCCTTATTCTTCGTTTGTATCGTTAGCTTTCTTTGTGGTTAGTTCCACCCGCATATACCACTTTTCCTCGTACGAGACTGAGGCTGTAATCTACGAATATCGATATCTGCGTATCCTATGCTACTGGTGACAGAACTCATAAACGTATGTACTTGGTTCAGTCGGTTGTATACGAAGTCGACTATCCAATATGGTCGCGGTTAGGTCAGGTTAGGAACGCACGCCGGCGCCGAGCTGCTTCCGGTTCATGACGATCCCGACCAGCGACGGACGTCAGAACATTATGCCGGAGGATGAGGCATACTCCCTCCAGACTCGTCTGACGACTGACTATAAGCGAGAAACGCAGACAGAGAGTGCACCATGAGTAAGTAGGATATTCAGACAGAACGAGATTTCGCCCCATCTAGTAAGGCATCGGCCGTGGGAATTATTGCCTTAAATGGAAGTCATTGGAGGGTAATCCATGTTCAATAATCAATGTTGAATACAAAGTTTACTAACCATCCTACAGGCCGCAAGGACACTAAGTAGCCCTGCGGATGGCCCGAGAAAATCGTATGCCAGTGAATGTTCATTACTTAGCATCAAGTATCATGTCCCACTCTTTCTGA